TCTCTCCCCTTTTAATTGTATGATAACTAGTTATTACTATTATTTACTATTCCATTTAATATAATATTATTTCTTCTTGCATAACTTCTGATTATTTTTATGGATATTATTTATTATATCTGTTCATAATCAAAATTGTAATTTAACTATACCTTTGTTTTTTTCTATTTTCTATTGTTTTATCTTCTTCTTAGCTTTGATGAGAGTCACAGGCTTTTTACGGAGGGGGCTTTCTGGCTAAAGCCTCCCAAAATGGAAATGTGTGCGTGTGATAATAATAACAATATGTTCTATTTTTAAAATTAAAATACATATACAGCTACTAAATATAACCATGTCTTATGAAAAAAATATTTAAAAAGTATCTCTAGAATATAATTATACGTGTAATTACATTTTTAATCGGACCTCAATAATCACTTAAACATCATTTCATATATGCAATTTCTTTCTTTTTTTCCAATTTATTATCTTGATATAAATAAAAAAAATACTTTCGGACTATAGCCCTCCTCTCTCCCTCTCCTTAAAAAAAATATATATCCTGGATTCGCTACTGATGAGATCCTATTACTTAAGCCATAGAGTAAAATAGTATAAATTAAATATATGGCATTACCTTGTGTTTGACCGCACTCCTAATCATCTTATCCATGTATGCATTAATCAGCTGAATTGTTATTAATATATTATTTTCCTTTTTCCTTGTAAAATCAGTTTATTTAAAAATGAGATGATCTCAAACCTATTTTAAACGTTGTGGTTTATTTATAAAACTCGGAAATCAGGAAAAAATAATACTGTGTGAGAAGAGGCGAGGAGACTGGTCATTTTTATTGACGTAGGAGGCTTTTAGAAGCCTGCTATGTGTCAACAGCACAGCATCCATTCAGTTGAGGAGTGGGATCGCAAAACTGAATGCCGTTTTGTAAACCATGGTAAAAATAGAAAACATTTTGCAAACCATAGAACAAAGTATATTTAACGCTTCTTGTTATATAAGGACGGCTGTTTATTAGTATTATAAAATTTGTCTGAATTTTAACGTTAATCGATGTTTAAAAACATTAATATGTTTTGCTGATTGAGTATTTCATACATCATACAATTGAAAGATAGATATAAGATCGCCAACTTTTATATTTTTTAAACTAAAAAACCTAAAGTGGTGTTATCTAGGAATTCAAGGCTCCTCAAGATTTACAGTCGATTGGTGTATAGGATTTAAGTAATAAGAAGATTGTTTTTGTTTATTGTTCTCCCTTATCTCGCATTTTAGGCTATACGGGGCTTTCCCGAACTAGGGGTTGAGGGCGGGGGATTATTTAATTGTTTATAACTTTGGTTATCAGCTTGCCAGACAACGCGCGGTGCTGTGCACACACGCGTTAGCCCACTTGGTCACACTATCCCATAATTAGAAGACTCGTTTACTAGCCACGATACATACTAATCCCTCCCCTCCTCTCCTCTAAAAAAATATTAGAATACGAATCGTGCTGTCCAATCCCACTTCTATCCATTATGAACAAAATCATTTAGAAATTCCTGGAGAGAAAAAAAAAGTCTTCTTATTACTTAATTCCTGTACACCAATCGACTGAGAATCTTGGGGGCCTTGATTTCCAAGATAACACCACTTTAGATATTTTAGTTTAAAAAATATAAAAGTTGACGATATTATATCATCAACAAGTAAATATGAAAATAGTTACATGACAACTATAACATGAAGAGTAACTACCCATTGGTAGCAATCCAAACACAAATAAATGTGGTTTATAATTGACAGAGCCTTCATAATTTTCTACTACTGCTTCTCATATTTCTTCTTTAAGTAAGGAATGCTCCTGAAAGCCTGATGGTCTCTCGTATGCAATGAATTAGATCGAAATCAGAGTTCAATATCAAACTATAAGCAAAACCATTCCCTTTTGTTACCATTGTTTTTTTCGCGTATGATGCTCTCTACTGTATCTTACACGTTTATTTTTAAATTCTTGCGCTTTTTCGGAGAACATTTTGATCAAAATCATTAAGTTTTGAACAACACCAGATACATAGATAAGGATTTATCTGAACGAAATGGCCATGTAATACCAATTATTGTATATTACGCATCATTCATCAGTTTCTAATTAAAGTGCAAACTGAGCTGAAGAGTTGTATTTTTAAAGTGGGTATCGCAGCTGCGACATCTTGACGAAGGATTCTCTTCTAGAAGGTGGATATGGTCTAACCTAGTTTTTTCTGTTCCCAGGTGAGTTATAGTAGTTCGCTCACGGCGGTTTCCTTGTATCTCAATGAATGTACGACTATCAGCACTAGCGGATCCAGGATTTAATTTTGGGGGGGGGAGGGGCTTCTGACCGAAAGATTTTTTTTCATGTATATAACGGTAATTAATTTGAAAAAAAAAGAACAAAGAAATGAACTACCCATATGAAATGGTATTTAATTGATTCTTGAAGCCCTATTGAATGTAATTACACGAACAATAATACTTTAAGAGGTAGTTGTTAATATTTTTTGCTATAAAACGTGGTTATATTAACATGGTTATATTAACATAAAAAAGGCGGATGAGCACGGGCGGATCTACGGGGGGGGCTTTCGGGCTGAAGTCCTCCCCCCCAAAATGGTAAAATATAGCCATGTTTCATCGTAAAAAATATTAAAAAGGTATCTCTTAAAGTATTAATGTTTGTGTAATTACATTTAAAAGGGCTTTAGGAATCACTTAAACACCATATAGGTAGTTAGTTTCTTTCTTTCTTTCCAAAGTAATTATCGTTATTTTTATGAAAAAAACAGCTTTCGGGCTGAAGCCCCCCCTCCAAAATTAAATCCTGGATCCGCTAGTGTTTACGAGTCCTCCCCGTAAATCCGCCTGTGACTATCAGTACAGATATTCTTCATTTTATTGGTGCTGGACACCTTGGATCATAGGTAGGCTTCAGCCTTCTTTGCATCCTTACATGGGTTTTATCTTGCGGTTAGATTCAGGTACTATATTTTATCCTCCTCAGGTAGCTATGTCAGCCAGTCTGTTGCCCATTATTCCCACATGATTAAGTACCCAAAAGAACTTTAATTTTTATAATTAATTAGTTATGACGGAAACTACTATCGGGCTGGTAGATAAACGAAAATCTTAACTTGCTTTGAAGGGTAGCAGGTAGATACTCCTACAACCTAGAGGCATAGCAAATCTGCCCACGCGAGTCTTCATGGGATTGCCTCTTGCTCGAGGTAAAAGAGCAAGAGAAAAATTAGAAGAATGATTTTTTTTTTAATAATAATAATTCTTTATTTATTTATTCTGGAACGAGTCCCTTTAGAATAATACATAAGGACATTAATGTGGGCTAAGGAGCCTCAGAGATACATAAAAAGAAATGTTGAGTAATGAAATAGTCATTTGATTTGAGGGCTGAATATGAATTACTACAAATTAGATTGCTGTTTATTTCATTATTATTTATAATTAAAATTATGGATAGTCAGATAGCAAAGAATCCGGAGAGTTCTTGGAAAAACATCAATATTATTTCTGAAATATGTAAGGTTTTTTTTTATATGTTTATTAAAATCTGATGAAATGTTAATAAACAAGATAAAATAAAAAGACCTACAAAGAACTGGTCATCACCTGGAAATGAAATTAATTTTAAATATAACACTTACCTTAGAAATATTTTTATTTTACTTATATATTTGACATTACTACATTATTATTTATTTTTCACCAGAACCTTTCCTATAGGCAACATATTACAAAACTATTTGTAATTTATAGAGTTTTTATTTATTTTTGTTATGTTTTGTCCCCTCCCCACCTTCTGCAGCTACAAATTTTAATGTAAAATAATGGGGAGATGGTTGAACATGATTATAATATGAGGAGTTTGTCGGGGGGTGCGGTAAAATTATCAATACTATGTACTATAATAGTATTTTATTAATTACGCTGATGTTTTGACCCACTTCGTAGGTCTTCATCAGGTATACAAAAGATAAAATGTATACAGTAAAAATAAAACTAAATGAATCATTAGTAGATATTAAATAAGTAACAGTTGTCTGATGAAGAAATGAAAGAACTAATAAGATGACATCAGTGATGTAATGGGTGATAATTTAGTTAACACACATATATATATAAGATACAAACAAAAATAAAAACAAAGGTGAATATAGCTTGTAAGTTATGTAGAATGGCAATCCATACTGTAATAATCTGTATTTTTTCAGGTTCCCCTAAATTCGAAATAAAACGGGTGAATTTATATTTTCTCGATAAATTCATTTCCAATTTCTGTTCTTACAATATTAACTTGGTCTTTAGCTTTCATTTGTTTTCTTAATTTAGTCTTTTATTAGTTGAATTGCAATCCTAGCTTCATAATTATGGTTGTGCTAAATAATCAGAAAACCATGATTACTGTCCATTTGAAATATAGAAGTTGTGTTTATTTGAAATAAATGTGATTTAAAGTTCCTAAGAAGAAATGAATGTTGGAGAAGCCAACAGCTGATGAACATTTCTCCTACTTAAAGTTACATAATATAACCTAAATATTTTTTTTTGCACTTACCTATATTTATCCGCACCAGACAATTACAACTATTGACAATCAGCAGATGTGCTGGAACAGTCAACCTAAATATTAAAATAATACAATATCAAGTCAAACATGTTCCAATTGGTGATAAGTCAGTTCAGAAGCAGGTGCCATGTATTCTACAAAAGTGGAATTCTAACCATATTATGTAAACATAGATTTGGGAAATATTGTGGAAGTGAAGGTTAGTTTAACATAATGACAGCCAGCCTTCAATGTACTGGAGGGGGAGAGGGTTATTGAATGGCATACATAAAGGAATAGCTTAGTATAATATCTGTAATATTATATAATTCTTATTAATACGGTTTATTGAACTTTTTGTAAGTTTTTTTATATATATATATATTTACAAAATTGTCTAATATAATATAAAATAAAATAACGTCATTAAAATAAAAGTCTGAAGATTAAACAATAAAAGTTATAATTTATAAATACCTATCTATCAAATATAAGTATGTCATTTAATACAATAAATATACATTATCACATAAGCACATATTGTTATTCAATTTGAGTATAATAAAAATATACATAGAAACCATTTAATTTATGATTTATGTTTCAAAATTAGGTTAACTGCTTCCTGAAGATTGTCAACAATCCCATCAGGAACAACTGATTCATGAGGTTCATCTCGATCTCGCATATATTTACCTGATAAAAAAAAATAAAAATAAAATTTTTTGTAACAAAATCTTTATTTTGTATATTTTTTATCTGTGGTACTGCCTAGAGTCTGATATATACATATATTTTATGAGGAATTTTGAATAAGAAACAGCAAAAATTAAAAGAAAATATATGATTGCCAACTGACCAAGCACCCACCAAGTCACATTTGAAGAATACACGTTGAAAATAAGTTTGTTTATCTAGGTTCCTTAGTTTGTTCAGACAATAAATATGCCTAGCCAAGAAGTACAGAGATGAATCATGTCAGCAAACAGGTGTTATTTTGTCTAGGCAAAAATATTAAGAAGTCATTTGCTGGCTAGAACCACTAAGATTACTCTGTTATTAGAACTGCACAATCTGCAATCTGTTAGTGCAGTTCTAATAACAGATTTATATTTATTGTATAAATCTGTTATTAGAACTGCACTGACATAGGCCTCAGAGACATGGCTCTCATTATGTACAGAAGCCATCAGCTTCAGAGATTTTTGAGAGAAAAGAAAAATCCTAGGGAGGATATTAGGCTCAGTAGAAGATGGTAACCAGTATAAGCTAAGATATAATGTAGAACTTCACCACATTTACTGGGAAATGGATGTGGTACAATTTATAAGGCTCTAAAGGCTAAGATGGATTGAACATATCACAAGGATGGATTCCCATCCTTACATGAAGCGGATACTGTTCGGGTATATGGATGGAAGAAGTAAGAGAGGACGACCAGGAATGAGATGAACAGCCGAAGCTGATGCAGAGAAGCTTCTGGACACTAGAGTTTGGCAGATCCTTACACAAGATAAAGATAAATGGAAGTGACGTATTGATACGGTGAAGACTGGTACCGGTGTAGTGTCTGTGATGATGAAAAAATAAAAGGTTTTCAAAATGGCAGATAGGTCAAAAAGTTACAATATTAAAGTTAATTATGAACAAAGTTTCATTGCAAGTTTACTCCAATTTTAAATAAAAAATATATGTTGATAAACTTGAAATATATCTGGGAGCTGTGGTGTGGACTGGAATGGGAGTCAGAGTCAAGTATGTGGTGACTCGTACCGCTGCCAAACATGATACTATTCAGGGGTGCGCTCTGAACATCCTCCCAAGCTCATGACCCCCACTCTCTGTCCCAAGAAATGTATAGCTCTCTTCATCTAAAAAACGGTGCAAACAAAAGTTAAATTTAATAATTGTAGTTAGTGTTAACCTGGATTTGGAATGTCCTCTTAAATTAAAACCTTAAAATAATATGGTTCCCTCCAAAAATTCATAACCCTGTAAACATGTGCTCCTTCAAAAATGGATATCCTCATAAAAAATGTGCCTCCCTCAAAAATTTTTATGGCATATATTGCGCTCTTGATACTGTTAAACCTCTCTTAATTCAATGGTTATTTTATTTCTTAATAAAAGCTAATAGAATAGTTTTAAAACTAAATATTTTTACTGCGAGAAGACAAGGTGAAAGAAAAATGGAAAGAAATTTCTCGGAAGGAAGTTTTGAAGCAGTAAACATTGGTATAAACTAATAAGTACAAGGTATCCAATGGTATGAGCTAAGCGTTGGCAGCAACTATGTTTCCATTCTCATAGATCTGTTTCCATCACTTTTCTTATCTTTCCGAAGCACTAATTATCTATGCAAATATAGATCAGAAAAATTCAGGACTTTTTTTTAATTATTATAACCTAATCTTTACCAGCCTATACAAATTGAAGATTCATGCATGTTCTCAGTTCATTTTTATGTGAGTCAACAAAAAAAAAATTAAAGGAAAGGGTCCTTGACAAATGACAGGCATATCTTACTATTATCTCTTGTGTTGACTAAATTATAATTAAATAAGGAAAACATGTCTAACCTGTCCTAACCAAAACACCTCTCAAACCACAATTTTGTGCACCACCGACATCAGATACTATATCATCTCCAATCATCACAACCTGCAAATAAGGCTTGATCAGAATAATCCAATTCATAAATCAAAGAATATATATATATATATATATATATATATATATATATATATATATATATATATATATATATATATATCTTTTAAGTAAAAATTAAAAAGATTTTTTTTTTTTTATTTCGTTATGACATTTACAACTGTATTACATAAATACATCAAGTAAATTTGGACATAATAGATATAATGACATGAATACACTTGCTGAGTAACTACCCAATGGTAGCACTCTAATAAAAAAAAAATAAAAAAAAAATATTGCATTTCACAGTACTATTACAATCTTATTACCTTCTCCCCTTCTTCCCACCCTTCCAAAAAAATGACAAGCGAAATGAATTAACAATATAAAAAAAGAAGTTACTTCCAAAGAGATGTATTTGTTGTGTATGTATATATAGTGTATTGGAAAAAATAATATTTAAAACTTTTAGAATATCACTACTGTTAGGACAAAAGATTGTATGTAAAAATTGAGTTGTTTATTTTACAGAAGAGCATACAAATTGATTATTTCTATATGATTTAGTAGGAAAATTTCATTTTTCTCTGCTATTTTCCAAAGTAGCATACTACTTATTTCAGTTGCAGACTACAAAATATCACCTTCAGCACAAATAGAATAATTATTGAAAATTATTACATATGACCTTTTGAATTAACATTAGCGATATATATACATATCTACTAATCTATTTTTAATTCCATTTATCAACAGTAAATTACATTTTAATGTTTAGATATTTAGGTAAGTGTTTCTTATCTTATCTGAAGAAATTAAATGGTAGTTAACAAACAACGTTACACAATAGAGAATCTAAAATACCTCGTTAGGTTGTAATTTAAGATCACAAACAGCATCCAAAAAGTATTGAGGGCTTGGTTTTCCAACAACGGTTGCCTTAACCCCAGTGGCATATTCTATTGCTTTACAGAAAGGACCGACATCTAGCGCAAGCCCGTCCTCATCTCGAAAATATTTTCTGAAAACAAGATATCCTATTTATTGGCAATAAATTAAAAATATAAGTAAAAAAGAAAAAGCAATATTGAGATTGCCAATAATACAAAATATAATATTCATACCCTTGGCCTAATGAAAATAAGATGGGATTTTCCATTCCCATTAGTTGCCTAAAACATTCATTTAAAAAGTTATATTGAAAACACTCGGCAGCATCACCCATGACAACACAATTAGGATTTGAAGTATCAATATCACCAAAATCAGGAATTACCTACAGAAATCAAAAGCATAGTAGTCTGAACACCAATAATAATAATATTTTGGTCAGTAATTAATATTTCTCATCCCTAAAGTTTTAATTAATAACTGATAAATCATTATGGGTGTATCAAATAATAATTTATCTTAAAAATACTAATATCAGAAAAAACATGGAAGGCTTGAAAATATAGTTAGATATTTATAATTTACGTAATAAGAAAAACAATTGGAACTCTTGAAAAGTCATGATTAACCAAATAATTCGCTAACTAAAATTCTAAAATACTTATTTAACATTCAAAATAGAATAAATAAATTCTTCCATCCCAAAAAAAGAAAACATTAAAGAAGATTCTGGAGTACAATACTTGCATCATGTATTTCATTTATTACATATATGAAATAATGATTAAAAAAAAGTAAAAGATGAAACAACTGTTTTTGGTAAATAAATTGAAAATAACACTAACAATACTGCAATAATTGATTAATCTATACAGAAAAGAAATTAAAATTATTTATAAACATAAAATCAAAGATATAATCAGTAGCATTATAATATTAAGACAAAGATTGAACTATTAAGGCCAAAAATTAACCAACTTTTATTAATTTTGAATTTTTAAAATTATAGTATGGCATCGAATACACCAAAGCTTCTAGTTAATAATGAGGTTAATAACTTTACCTACTCCAGAATTTCCTCTAGGTAATGATTTACTCAAAAGTGTTATTTCATTTCTTTTTAGGATTTGACCTAGGTCTAATTGAGAATCTTTGTTAGGCAGATCCATATAGTCTCTAGTTATGATACATGAAAAGGGTGATAATGCCATATTCAACTTTTATGTTAAATTTAAATCACAAAAGTGGATATATTTTTAAAAGGACAATGCCTTCATCTTCTCTCCCATCCCTCCCGGCATATGTCATAAATGGAGAGATAGGGGGTAATCAGAAAAAAAATTATATAAAATACTTTTAACATTAATTTGAATAAATTTATAATTTGGTTAATATAATACTATGATATTTTACCTCTGGATGGATCAAGAGAAACGGTCTTAAGTTGTCATTCTTTAAAATTTTAACAACTGCAGGAACAGGGGAGATTAAATCTTCCTCAGTAACTTCATAACCGAGCATATTCAATGTACTCAAAATTTTATTAACTGGACGTGAAGTTTCATTTGTAACTAGTCGAAAGGGTATCTTGGCTGATTGTAAACTGTAAAATTCATATTATACGTAAATATTTAAAATATATTGTAGTGAGAAAGAGAAAACCAAACATGTCCTTACTTACCTTTTGACAGCTTCAACAGAACCTGGTATGGGTTGACTGCCATCCTTTAGAACACCAGAAATGTCTAACAAAAACCCTCTTATTGGAGATTGAAGCAATTTTTCGTATGCCATGATAGATTTCTTGAGAAAGGCCGTAATTTTCTGAGACATTCAATTTTTGAAATGGCAATAATTAGTCCAATGATTCTGGTTGGTCAATTTTATAATTTACAAAATGTCCTCTATTTTTCATATTTATCTAAAAAAGTCTTAAATGACGTAATTCACAGTCTTATTGGACATTAGTGAACATCCTACTTTCGAAGGATTATTACATTTATAATTAAACTTTAGCTATAGATAATAAATAATTCCATAGAGAGTGAAAAAAATAAAACATAGAGACAGGGAAGAGTAGAGAAGATAGTGCCGTGTCAGCAGTGACGTAACATAGTCCTGGTGCCAGGGACCAAAAATCGACCTCGAAAGGTTTGATTGGAAATTACGAAAGATGTTATTCTGAGTAAAAAGAACTTTGTCTGCCGTTCCAGAGCCGCTGATTTCAAATTTGGCGGCTGATTTAAAGAATATTAGGCCAGTAATTTGAGGATCGAAACAGGAAATTCATTGTGAAAAATATGAGAAAAGTTTTTATTTCTTAACTTTTAAGTTTTTTAAAACCTATTTTATAGGTTTAGTCATGTAAAAAATAAAATTGCTAACCCGGGCCACCAATAGAAAACTTTTTACAGCCAAAAAAGTATGACGTTTTCGATATTTTTTTGTTTTATCACCTATAACTCCTAAACGATGCTCAATTTACTGTTTAATGGATTAAAGAAAGTTAAACTGTGCGTCGATCGAGCACATAAACTTTATAATTTGGTTACGTGATAAGGTATAAAACTACGGTAAACTAACTCTGATTTTTACCAAATTAGTCAAAAACTGAGACAAATTTCTAAAAATGGCCTTGCAACTTGGTAATGGGTTTCTTAAGAGGAAACACCCATAGAATCAAAGTTTTAGAGCATCAAATTTTGCGTCCACTGAGTACCAACTAAATTAATGTAGGTCCGAACAAAGTCGGTAATCTCCCCATGGTTAAAAATTGGTAATGAAGGTAAACGTGATTTTCAATATTTTAACAGTATGGATGTCTATTCTACTTTGTTTAGAGGAGTTATTTTTGTTTAGTATCGATTATATGCAGTATATGTATCTTTTCCACCTCTCACCAGCGAAGGATTTTGATAATATGTCGAAAGATACCGAATTTCATAAGATTCGAAATATATAATTGGCCAAAAATAAAAATATCATCACTTAGTGGACGCAAAATTTGATGCTCTATAACTATGATTCTATGGGTTTTGAGTCTTAGGGAACTCATTTCCAAGTTATAGAGCCATTTATAGTAATTTGTCTCAGTTTTTGGTAAGTTTGATAATAATCAGCGTTGTTTGACCGTGGTTCTATATCTTACTACATTACCAAAGTATAAAGTTTATGTACTTTTTTTTTTTTTTGGTTCTTCCCTACCTCGCCTTTTAGGCTATACGGGATTTTCCCGGGCCGGGGGGTGAGGGCGGGGAATTTAAATTCCCCTCCGGCACCGGGACGCGAACTCGTACTTTTTTATATCATCTCAAATCTCTGTTATCCGGTTGCCAGGCAACTAGCGGTGCTGTGCACACGCTTTAGCCTATTCGGCCACCCCGCCCCCTAAAGTTTATGTACTTGTTCGATGCATAAACCTTTGCCTACGATGAGGTCGATTTTTGGGCCCTGGCTCCAGGGCTATCACAGATTATCTGTAAGGGGCCCCTTATACAGGGGAAGGGTAGGTTCTTGCGCCATTGACCTTGGGGGGGGGGAGGCAATGGACACCACTGCTTCTTTGTAATGTTTATTTTGTTCCTAGACATTAAAACGTTTCTTATTTCAAATTGGTTCTGTTCTTGTTTCCTAATTATTTAATATTTAAAACACAGTTTACTAATAAAAAAAACATTGTTATTAAATTTTGTATAAAAAGTATCACCCATCTACCCAACCATATTGCCATTTTATTTTTAAAAAATAATTCGGAGGGAGAGAGGGGCTCACACCCCTTCAACAAAAATAATAAAAGTAAAACAAAACTATCACCCACCTGTCGAAATATATATATCCGTTTTATCTTATAAAAGCCAAATCGGAGGAGGAGCGGGGTACCCCCACAGCAGATATTTTGGCATAATAATACTTTTAGTATTTTATTAGTATTTATAATTTTTTTGTCCAAAGGCTCATTGTAAGGAACAGAAACTCTGTTGTCTGTCAAATATTTTTTGATGTAAATAGATAATTGATTCCACTCTATACTGCTCATAATTAACAAAATTGGATCAATCAATTAAAAATAAATGCTCAGAACTGACAAATCGGAAGGGTGTTGTGTTGCACCAAGTCACTAGGCCCACACCTCTTTGGTCACTCGCAATAAATTAATGAGCCTTGGATGAGACCTTTTGCCCTACTCTCCCTATTCACCAGACCTAGCTCAAAGTGACTATCATTTATTGCGGTCTCTGCAGAACTCCATGAATGGAAAGAAATTCCACAAGGAAGAGGACATAAAAAACCATTTGGATCAATTTTTAACAATAAACCCCAGACATTCTATGAACATGGCATTATGCAGTCAGTTGAATTATGGCAAAAAGTCATTAAATAATGGTCAATATATTGTAGATTAAAATGAATTTTATATCTATAGTATATTGAGTTTTATTTCACCCTGAAAAACCGAACGGACTTATTTGCCTGCCCAATGCAAGTCTACATCCTCAAATGGAACAAACCACAAGTAGGAATTTGAATATTTCTAGTGCAAGTAGCTGAAGGATTGATGATGTTTGTGAATAGCCAATATCAAAAGCAGTTTAGAAAAAACATTCATTTATTAAACTTTAATATATTTTTTAAAAGGTGGTGGGAACAGCAATTAGTCAATCAAAGAAAACAAAATCCTAAGAATTCCATGGGGTAAGAATCTTAGATGCAATGGAGTTCGTATGATACAGACGAAATAATCACAGTTATCACTAGCATCATTAGGACGAAAGTGTCTGATTTAATAAAAAATATTTATCCAAGGATCACAGAAAACTGCCAATACCAATTTTATGACTCAGCAACATATTGAAAAGGGAGATTCGTTTCCAGATTAAAAACAAATTACAAATTTTATAAGATTTTTTTTATTAATCATATTAACAAAAATATTTTTATAGCAATACAAAAAATTGGTACAATATTATTAAAAAGTGAAACATGATAATCATTATAAAAGTTACCATCTTTCATATTATATATACAAAATCTTTAATGAAAATATTCAACATTTGCACATTATATCACAATAATAACATGGAAAACATAAAATAAAAATTATTTTAAGAATTTTTCTCAGGCACAGCAATAAAAGTAGTTTTAACTTCGGTGTATGCACTAAGACCATATTCTCCCAATTCTCGCCCACTTCCAGACATTTTATATCCTCCAAAAGGCGCCTGGGCAGTTATTGTATTATAGGTGTTAACCCTGTAGAACAATAAGAGGTTAATAAACATTGAACTACTACAATCAAGTCAGATGCATTTCATGCACTAATATTTTTTTAAATGGTTATTTTATTTTAATACTTATAAAATAAAATGCAAAACTTACCAAACAGTTCCTGCCCGAAGACCTTGGATAATGGTGTTTATATTATTAATGTTATTTGAAAATACTGCTCCAGCTAAACCATAATTGGAATCATTTGCCCTGTGTATAACCTCATCGAGAGATTTGAATTTCAAAATTTGTTGAACTGGTCCAAAAATCTAAAATTAATAACATAAAAAAACATTTAATAGTTTTGTTAATACATAAACACAAACATATATACGGGGCAGGGCGTATTCCAAAAGTAATGTCTGGTGACTGAAATTGAATTGATGGTAAGCCTGAATGATGTTTCCTCCCTTGTATGTAACCCTCCCTGTCTACCAACTCTTTATCAAAACTACTACAGTGTTGATTTGATTCAGTAGTTGTTTGACAGTCGGTGAGAGTAGATCACAATGGTCGAGAGTATCATAGATCCCACCAGTTGTGAATGTGCAATGCGATTATAGATTTTTGCTAGCAAAAGAATCTTCAGCTGCTGAAAGTACACCACATATTTCGCAAGTGGCAGGATCTACGATTGTCCTGGCCAATGCGATCTGCTCTCACCGACTGGCAAATGACTACTGAATCAAACCAACACTGCACTAGTTTTGCTAAAGAGTTGGTAGATAGGGTCCCATGCGCAAAATTTTATTCAAAACTACCATCAGTTAAATATCGGTCACTACATCTTACTTTTGGAATATGCCTCGTAAATTAATCTTAAAGTTAAGTAACTGAGTAACAGAAATATGCTAAAACCATGAACAAGACAGATAGATCAATTAGGACAAATTTCAAATGATGAGATTAGAAATTACCTCCTCCCGGGCAATCGTCATGTCATCAGTAACTTCAGAAAAGATGGTTGGCGCAACAAAATATCCTGCATTACCAACTCTTGAACCACCAGTTACTAAGTTTGCTCCTTCTTTTTGCCCAGTTTGAATGTAACCCAAAATTTTGTTTAACTGTTCTTCATCGATCTGAAAAAAAAAACAAACCAACAACCAAATGAAATTAGTATTTTAAAAAAAACTGTTATCAATTATAAGCTAAAAATAAGATTTTCACCAATTATAAGTACCAAAAAACATCAAAGAAATAGATTCGGAATAAATAATTATTTTATTTTAGAGAGGATAAGATTAATATAGAGCTAAAACCAAATTTTAGATGGTTCATTACCTGTGGTCCTTGCTCAGTTTCAACTTTAAAAGGATTACCAACAACTCGCTTCTGAGCACGTTGCTTACTCTTTTCCACAAATCTACGACAGATCATTAATAATGTTACAACTTAATGCATGACAACATAAAAATATAATAAACTTAAGTAATTTATTAGTAAAATATTAAAAATCAGCTGAATATGATCACTTTATAAATGATTAAGATTACTTTTCATAAATTCCTTCTTGTACATAGACTCTTGTTCCTGCACAACAACATTGTCCCATGTTAAAGAAGGTTCCGAAATGTGCTCCTTCAACAGCAAGATCAAGATCGCAATCATCAAGAATAATATTAGGTGATTTTCCACCAAGTTCTAATGTGACACGTTTTAAATTTGATTTTCCTGCTCCTTGCTGAACTAATTTACCAACCTGGAAAATAAAAGCAACATAAGATATAAACATTATTGTAAAACAAATACATTAAAGTAAAAAATCGCATCATATGAGTTTCACTCACCACCCTCTTCTTAGCAGAAATAAGTATTTTCAGACAAAGGGGAAGTAAAAGTAAAAAATTACAGACGCTATATTTCTTAACATTTCATTGTGGATATTATTACATTTTTTAAATACCCTTATCTAGAATTTTTTTAATTTTTATATCGCTTTATTCTATACAATTAAATATTAACTAATACCAATGATAGCATTTATGAAAACCGCATATGTATATGTACATAATATTGTTGGAGTCCATATCATATTAAGCTCATGTGACAAGTGGAAGCCAGTTCTAATCTTTTGGGCGAGCTCGGGTGCACTCGTATTCCTTTGGTCCCTATATTACAACTACTAACTATTACGATCTCTTATTTCTTATTTAGTTAATTTCAATAAAATTCTTTCATATTTTACATTTAACTATTTTTTATATCAATGACTAATGAGAAACAGTTAATAATTTCAAATAAAAAAATTAAAGGTACTTTAGAGGAAGCTGATATTGAAAATTAGCCATTCAAGTCCTGTTAAAAAACATATATGAGAAAAAAAACCTACATTATATTAAAATCTGTTTAATAATACACTGATGTACTAAGTTAAATCAAAATCGTTACGAGCTGTTTTTGATAAAATCGTAAAAATGTGTTAAATCGATGATATAAAGTACCAATTCCAGTTTGCTGAAAATGTTGGTGTAACATCCCAGGTTTATAAAACCAATAAATATGCAATTTGGAAATGTGCAAAATTTCAGTGCATATAAGGATTGCTCTGATGATGGGAAAATTGTCCCGAAACGTTAGAGGTGATAAATGTGAATAAAGGGATTTGAAGGAGTTTGGAAGTTTTTTTGCCTAAATTATAAAAAAATGCAATTTAAGTTTCGTGCAACTTTTAGTTTTTGAGCTAGGCTGTTCACGTAACACACACACACGCACGCACGCACGCACGCACTCACGCACACACACACACACACACACATACACACACACACACACACAGAATTTTGTTGGATTTGATTATTCAAACTCAGAGGACGTCAAAATGTGTATTTCCATTGAAAACTAGGATTTTAAAATTTTCATGATCGCAATACTTATCCTTACTATGTACAAGACTGTTAAAAAAAAAAAAGTTTCACTTAGCTTTTAATAAAATAATTTGTCTGCTATTTAGCCTATTTATGACCGCCACCTTAAATATTCATATTAAATATTCGGGCAACTATTAACTATTCAAAAATGAAGTTAAATAGAGCGAACCTCAGTTGAGCCAGTAAATGCAACCTTATCGACGTCAGGATGTTCGACTATCGCTGCACCAGCATCTCCGAAGCCAGGAACAATATTAACTACTCCTGGAGGGAAACCTGCTTCCTTTATTAGTTCTGCCACATATAAAGCTGTCAATGGAGTCTGTTCAGCAGGTTTCAAGACTACTGTATTGCCTGAAACATGAGCTCTGTATCATATATAAACATAAATATTTTTATTTTTTAAGATTTAATTGCATAATTATTTTTAAAATAAAAAAATTGATTGAAATAAAATTAGAGTATCAAAATGGATACTTTAATATTAATTCAATACTACTAGTCATGTAAGCATTTTTTGTTAATATCTGCAGAGAACTCGTTAATAATTGTTTTTAAAATCATCGAAAAGGAACTGACAAGTGTTTTAATAGTTTAGTTGCTACATTAGAATTTAACAATCCATTATAGAACATAATATACAGCATTTTTAAGAACCTGAAATTTTTTTACTTCTATGTATGAGTTATTGGAAGCAAAAGTGGTGTAAAGCTTCAAGATATTTAACATTTAAGGGAAAATTCTAGAAAAATAGATATAGAATAATAAAACATACTTTCTAGAAAAACCTTTCTGTTTCAGCCAGCCTCAAGCATAACCCACTATTTAACAGCACAAAATTAATGCATTTATTAATTATGAAAATGACCACTTTTGCACAAAATGGGCTTGAGTAAAGAAAAAACGATAACCTTTTGAAGGTTCCATAATTCACTAAAAACACTAGCCAGTTCACACTGTTTTAGTACTTTAATTCAAAAATAATACCAGTAGCAAGTGCAGGTGCAATTTTCCAAGTACACATAGCTAGAGGAAAGTTCCATGGAATTATCTGTCCACAAACACCAACTGGCTCATGCCGAGTAAAGCATAGGAAATTTCCATCAGTTGGAATTGTTTTTCCATGGTTCTTGTCTGCCCATCCAGCATAGTACCTGATGACTGAAATGCTCATGGGGACGTCAACATTGTACGACATGGAAAAAGGCTTTCCATTGTCCAATGTTTCCAAACTCTGAAATATTTACAAACAATTAATAATGGACATACCTTCGTATAATATTGCCATTTTAACATCAACCAAGTTCTAACACTGCCTAATTTTGTTACTAATGACATCTTATCATTTGTGACATATTTCAATCTGATAACATCTATGGTCAACTCTTGATAATTTCTTCTTATGCCATTAGTTAGCGTCGAGGAGCCTCAATCCAGCGTAACCACTCTTCCCGATCCCTGCTTAGCCGCTTCATTTCACTGAGGGTTTTGCCTCTTTTACTTTCAATTCTTTGGATATACTCTTGGTATGTAATTGTCGGGCATTCACTTGGTCTCCTTCTTGTGGGTCCAGCCTCTAATATCTTTATAGGATTCATTTTCTCGTTCATGTGGCAGACATGTCCAAACCACTGGAGTTGCAATCTTTCTATAGTGGTTTTAAGTTCGTTAATTCATAGTTGATCTCTAATGCTTTCGTTTCTAAAGCGATCCCTTCTGGTTCTCCCAACAGATCTGCAAAGGAAGCTCATTTCTTCCTGCGACTAGAGTGCCTGTCCAGAATTGTCCTGCTTTCTCCGCTGTAGATGAATGTAGGCAGGTAAACAGACTTATATACAAGCATTTTGGTCTTCTTGTCTACTTCATTAAGGCTGATGATGCTATTAGTAGTCTGGTAATACACTTGATTCACCTTACATATTTTGTTTGATATTACGGCATCTATCTTAACCGAGCTACTAATTACGTTCCGGAAGTAGGTATATTCACTCACTACCTGAAGTATCTCGCCGTTGCAGATCACTCTTAATAACTTAAACTTCAATAACTTGAATACCTCTAAAAGACAAATATTTTGAAGATAAATCTTAAATTTTCAGTTTTCTTACACCTAAGGAGCTTTGGAAAACCTCATTAAGTCGAAGTTTTGATACCATCATCTCTACAATTTCAAATTTATAAATGCTTCCCTTCTCCTGATTTTTTATTAGTTCTAAACCTGGCAGCTGATTCATAGAAGGTGATTAGTGAGAGCATGGGGGATTAACCATCATAAAGCATGGAGAAAAAAAATTGACATTGCCAAGCAAGTTGGCATACCTTTCCCCAACGCCTCAACAATTTTGAAAAATATGACTATTGAGGACGGTCAAAATATGACAAGATTAATAAACAATATGTGATTTCCTTAATTCTTATAATTCATTTCAAACTTACTGAAAGATAAAGCTGATCTCTTTCCATCAAATCTGCTAACCGGTGCAATAGAAGACCTCTCTTTGATGCGTCCATTGTCCTCCATTCTGAGCCTAATTCAAAAGCCTTATTTGCAGCTTCGACAGCAATATTTATATCATTCTAAAATAACAGAAAAAGTAACTGCATGAAGAAAGGACCATGTAGTTAATGTAAGTAATGTGGTGTAAGTGGACAATAGATTTCACAAAGTTTTATTTTAAATAACTGTAATATCTTCATGTTTTAAAAGTTACAGCCAAACCCATATTTCAATCATGTATATATTTATGAATTTAACATTGCCTAGTACATGAATGCCAATGCCTCAGTGCAGGGGTCTCCAAACTATGGCCCATGGGGCAGATCCGCAAGCACCTTTGATCCGGCCCGCGAATGTTTCTTACATGATAAAAATTTAAAATATTTTTCAGAAATGTGAAATTTAGAAAATTACTTACGTACAAAGTTACTTCAACATACATGGCTTGATTTTTTTTTATCACAAGTCATGGTCTCAATGCGGTCCGCAGAACTTAGTTGAGATATCAATGTGGCCTATGGGCCAAAAAAAAATGACCTCTGCCTTAGAGAGAAAGAGCAAAATATTTTGTTTCCAGACAGTTATTACAAATTTAATTATCAAAAAAGGTAAAACCTTTCTGAGATTCATATTTAAAAATCTTTAGTGAGTCAAGAAATTGGGATGTGGAACATAAATGAAAAGATGTACAAAAAATGAAAAAATCATATTTAATCAGAAGTAAAGAGCTACTCTGTATAAAACAGGCACTTGTTCCACAAAAAACGCCCAGGTTCTAAGCAGCTACTTCTCCAGAATAATATTATTAATTATAGTAAATAATTAATTAATGATAAATTTATTCTCCACAATATAACAGGAGCTATCTGGGATAAGAGTACTAGCCCATGGAGGAGAAAGACCAATAAGGAGCTGCTTACAAAAACTGGTGAATCAATATCTCATGATATGAAAGCAAGGAGGTTAAGATGGGAATGTAAGTCAGATCAATCAATTTGGAAGCCGCTACACAACAATGAGGACCTGTATAGTAGGCAAAAAGGAGATGGATAGATTTATTTAACAAAGATGCAATAGAGCTACGTGCTGAGAATGAAAGAAATAACCCAAGATAGGCAGAGATGGAGAAGGCTGGTTAAGATTGCAAAAGATCTAGGTCTGTAATGCCAACAGAAAAAAAAAGTTAAATTTCCTTTAATAATGAAAGGAATTATAAAAATATATAAAAAAATTATAATAAGTGTTTTATAATAGCTTTATAAGGATCTTTAGGCTTTATAAGGGTTTAAGGTCCTTGAACATAGAATAATCAAATTATTTTTTTTTTTATTTATAAGGAAAAAATTAAACAATTCAACAAACTCTTCCCCTATTTTATCAATTTTGTTTTAAAATTTCATTTAATTATAGAAATGAATTGAAGAAATACAAAAAAAGAACTTGAAGATGAGCTAAGTGGCTTGAAAGATTGTTAAAAAAGTTGAAAATGTATGGAATTTAATTTTTTTTTTTTTCAATTGAAAAACAAAACAAAAGATGAGATTAAATTTGTTGAGGCAGATTTCTAAGGATACTGATCAACGAAGAAGCTTGTAGTGATGTTACGTTTGTTACGTCCAGCCAGTACTGCTGGTAGCACAGCTTTTCGTTAAACTGCTTGCTGTTGACAAGCTGTGATAGTCAACTCCTCTTGTGTTAAATCTCTGTTTAAAACATTGTTAAATTAAATTGTTAGGCATAAATTTAATTTGAGGAATTTAAATGTATACAAGGAAAGAAATATATAGTGACAAAGTTGTGATCTTATTTAATTAATAGCTGCAATTTTGAATAGTATTTTAAGTTGAGTAATAAGGCTTAATACACCAATATTAATGCTCAAATTCTGAAAATCGTAGGTTTCTTTATGATATTTTGGATTGAATATAATGTCCTTAAGATAGAAAGAACAAGATGAAATATTATTTAAAGGGTTGATACACATCTTTGATTTGAAATTTATAACTGTGGGCAGTATTAGCTGTTATATATACAAGTATTTCAGCAATAAATATCAAATATTTGTAATGAAAAATGACAACTGATAATGTTATGTCATTATCTGTTTAATAAATTATTGCTTAAATTAAAAAGACATTTAGATTTTTCAATATTTGTGTATTCATTTGAGATTACAATTTCTTCCACCATTTGATGATAATTAAACTTACATTTTGAATTCCTTAAAGAAAATTGTTTCAATGACTTTAAGATCTAAATTGTAATGAATAATATTTTTCTTTATTCCTCCAAAATTGATTAGCTTTTTGTTTTAATTTGTTACACACGGATTTCCTTAAAACAATTTTCTATTCCATGAAGAAAACAACAAATAAAATGAAGTGTAGTAATTTGTTCACTATCATAAAAAATCTTTTTGGCCTCGAAACACCTCACTGCTGACTGTAAGACTCCTTCATACCCATGGCTGCCTGAAAAGTGCTAACAAAATGTGGCCTGTTCTATACCCTAAAAACGGCAATTAACTGCCAACAGTTACTTCCATAATGGTGGTCAGTACCAGAGGAAATTTAACTTAACACCGTTAAAAGAATTAATTGCTCCAAATGAGCTCAAATATATGGAATTAATGATCTTGGTCCATGGAGGGGAGAGGGGAAGTATTTACACCTTAATAATTTTTTTCAGTATGAGATTATTTTGGAAAACAAAATTCTTATTTAATTTTAAATCCATGGTATTCAAATTTACAACAAATTTGAAAAAATATTTCCATAAACATTTGTCTTCTATTCTAAAGTAAATTAACTACTCAAAGAAAATATGATTAGTAGGATATCAAATAAAACAAAATTTGTTTCCGTAATCTTCAGGTATTAATATAATCATGACACTCTTTTCTTAGATAAATGTGATTAGCAAGGTATGACAATACCTCCTGATAACTTATCTGTTGATAAATACTTGATAGTAATGGTATGGTAAACATAATAAATTTGTTAAAATTAATTATTACACATGATACAAATTAAATTAGGTTCAATAATCATATTAATATATATATATATATATATATATATATATATATATATATATATATATATATATATATATATATTAATTATATAAGTTAATTTTGAATATTGTACCTAATTTAATGTTCATCACTTGTGATGATTATTTTTAGCCAATTTATTATGTTTACCTTTATTGTTATTATATATATATATATATATATATATATATTTATACTGTAGTTTTATTAATTAATTTATGGCAATGAGTTTTATGTATATATAAAATATTCTCCAAAAAACAAAAATTAGTGGAATGGCCTTGAAAACAAAAATAACTGAGGGTCTAGGTTACATATCTAGAATAAAAAAAAACATTATACAAATCTGATAACAAATATCTGAAGTTTATTTTAGGTTTTGAAATGAAATGTTACCTTTCATGATAATGAGCTGATAATAATTTTTTTTTTTTTAATTTCTTGACAATATTTATATGTTAATTAGTTTGTAATCACCATCATACATTATAATTTATATTTTTCTAAAACCTGACTTCTAACATTAGGAAAAATGCATATAATTTTTATATCACGTTAATAATAAGTAAAAAATATCAGTAATATTCAACATAAAAAAGGCTATATTTTTTTTAACTTTTTAAATATGAAATCGTTCAAATCAATGGGTTATACAATATGAGTCCTAAAACTGGTATGGTGTACTTGTTACCATAACTTAGAGAGAAATGAAAAATCTGATTTTTATTCAAATTTGATTTCTTAAGTGAAGGTTATTAAATTGAAATGTTTTAACATATAGAACAAAACAAAGTTTAAACCACTTAGTTGAAAAATAAATCAGGATTATAGTGCTGCTTTCTTATATTCAACAAATAGAGTACAAAACTTTTATAAGAACATGCACAGTGATAGATTAACAGGCACACGATGGAGACCAGTTTAATTGAGTTATCTTAGTATTGCTATTGATGAATTGTTTATATCTATATTATTATAGAAAAGGACAAAAAATGGGTTTTTTGTTTCTGATTTTGAACAGCAAAAATTACTAGACCAATTTACACATCTTTTTTTTTTTCAAAATGTTCGGTGTTGCCTCAAGATGGATCTAAGGCAATAAAATCCTTTATCTGAGCAGTAGAAAAAAAAAAAGAAAAAATATTTTTAAAATGTTGAGAGGAGGTTTTAAAAACATTTTGTGAGGAGGTATAACTCATAATGTTTAATTGTTACATTGTTGATGGAATCACATTTCACTGTAATTAAAAATGTCACTACAAAGACAAAATGTTGACCACTGCATATATTCTGCAAAGAGAAAATGAGAAGAAAGACAAATTGAAGCAGAAACAGAACAATGAAATAAGAAATTACTTATCTTATTATATCATTCATGATATTATTGATAACTTTCTTTAAACAATCTAGAATACACCATGCTCATAAAAAAATTTAGTATAAAGCCATCAAACTGACAATCCTCTCTGTTAAACCAGTTTTATTATTTTATTTTTATGATTGTCTGTTTTGGTTTTCCACATATATTTTGGATGTTATTGAATCAACCCAGGGTGCTAGTTCTACTATAATGCAAATATTTAATAATATAATAAAATATAGTCAAAAAGTGTAACTTCTTTGTAAGAAACTGAAAAAGTAAAGCTGATGTGATCTTTGCTCTGCATTTCATTGGTCAACCCTCCATAATTTGGAATATACAAAGACAATGTTACAATTAATGTATGCATTTTGAGATTAAATAAAAAAATTTTGAAACAAAACATGAGACAGGCACATAAACCTAAACTAGTTATAAATACGTTGAATAGAATATTATCAAGGTTGCCATTCAAATTTTGGCATTAAAGAAGAAAAATGAGAAAAATATTGTTAAAAAGCTATTTTTAAAGGAACACAATTATATTTTTAGTTAATTATTTATTATATAGTAAAATATGAAATATTTTATAAAAGCTCGTTAAACAGTAACACTATGCCATTCCAGGGTGATCATTGGTACAGGTTATGATGGGTGGACACAATAGCACCAGAAGATATATGTAATCTCATGCAGGCAAAATGGTGCCTGCGAGCACAAAATTAGGAGTGGTTCTCCAGCTATATACTTTTATACTTGATAAAATAAATATGATATAATGACAACAATTTTGATTATTTTTAACTTAAAAAAAGTCTGAAGAAAATTACAATATCAAGGTTTTCACCTTTAATATATTAAGCATTTTTTCACAAATGAAGGTAATAAATAAGTTAAATACAATCTCTAATAAATGAATGAAAAAATGATGATTTTTATTTTTGGGTATAAGGAATAAAAACAGAAACCTTTAGAAGCAATGAATAGAAAATTTTTATTCTGAATGATGTTGAAAATAAATATGAAAATAATGACAAAAAAAAAAGTTTATAATTATAGATAAACAGTGATTACCTTATCTCCACAGCTAACTTCAGTAATAACTTGTCCAGTGGTGGGATCAACAGTTTCAAATGTTTTTCCAGAACTCGAATTGCACCATTCATTGTTAATAAATATCTAATTACAAAAAAAAAGGATAATAGTTGTTGGCCTTAAATCAAGAGTGTATAAAAAAGAAAGTAGATATTGGAGAGTTCATAACTCCTTATTGAATTATTCAATGAGTCATAAAGTTAATAAATTTTAAAACAAAGAAAATAAATACATAGATATAGTTGAATTTTAAAATAAAATCCTTAGATGTTCCAGTTTAACATCATGAAATTAGCATAGAATCCTATGCTATCACTATTTTATTGTTACAAGTAATATAAAAATTTGAATAGACTGATAAATAATAATACAAGTTTTATATTATATAATCTGTTCTGCGAGAAAAATCACATAATTAATGCTCAAGGAGTTTCAATTGTCTTTTTATTGTTGACTTGTAGAATTAGAATTAATCTCAGATATTTAAATATAAATTAGGTGTTCCTTTAGAAAAAAAATCTAGAAGATAAAGCCTAATTTTAATGATCATCTTCAGGGATGAATGAAATAAATTGTAGTACCTAAATTGTATTTGATAGATTAATTACTTTTCATAAAATAAAAATAATTTATAGAATTAATAATCAAAAATATAAATATTGGTCAAGTTTCAATACATTCTAAATGAGAGACAATTAGAAAGATCATTGGTATTACAATGCATACAAATTACAACAATATTGTGTAATATGATCATCCAAAGGAAAACATATGTCAAAAATTTTAATATTTACTCACATAGAAATATTTTATTTTCTAATTCATTAAAACAAATTTAAAATAAACTGTGATTTTTTCTCTAAAGAAACCAGATTTTTTTTAAATAGTGAAAAAACATATCACAGAAATTATTAATTCAATTACTTAAGGATATTTAAATTTACCCCTGTATGTTTGATAGAAGGCTGAATTTGTGGCTGAGGAAGAGCTGACATAAACCTTAGGCTTGTCAGCGATTTAGCTGTGAGGAGGCCGGCTCTTGTTAACTTCAGCATTATTGTAATCAAAGTTAACCGATTAAAGGGTGGACGCTAACTGGACGTGATTCCAACAACTTGGAATTCAAATGAGATAGCTAAATCAGATCAGGAAGAGGGAGGGGTAATCAGGACCAAACAGTAGCTGTTTACGATAGAAAAAAAATACTTCAACTCTTAATAATTTAATTTATTGAATTGAAACGACAAAAGTATGTACACAATTATACAACATAGGTAAAAAAAAGATATATAAATATAAATATTTTTCTATTGAAAAATATGTCTTTTTTTTTGTTTTTGTTTGTTTTGTTTTTACAAAGAGGAAGGATTACATTTGGCGGTGAGGAGGTTATATTGACAAGGTTAACCATTTTGAAAGTGACAGACCAATGAAGGTTTAACTGTTCTTGGTTGGTGTTTTCATAAATACAGATTTAACTTCAGTAAACGCTTCGATGCCATAAGGTCCTCCTTCACGTCCTAGACCAGACATCTTATAGCCTCCGAATGGTGTTTGTGGTGTGATTATGAAGTAACAATTCACCCTGTAAGTAATACAAAATTTACATGATCAATTATTTGTATTAGGTTAATTCCATTTGGTATATGATTTTTGTAGATTAACTTGAAGCTTGTTCTATTTTATTTTGAAATGAAGAGTGCTACAAATCATTTGTCAATAGTCTTGTCTTATATTATCTTGTCTTGTATTCCAATTGTCATTGTGATCTTAATTAATTAATTGATTGAGAAATATCTTCTCATTCGCAGCATATTTTTTGTGTACTTCATTTCAGTTTCTCTATAAATTCATTATCTTAAATATTTTTCACAGTTACATTTGAAGATGTTTAGTCCCATATAATGTAAACTTTTTTGTTCTTGATTTAAGTGTGTTTTTGTAGGTTAATAAACAAAAGTATGGCTGTATTAATTTTATAATAATGACTTGAAAAAAACAACAGATTTTTTAATAGAACATTACAGGTTAATAAAGTAACTGGATAAATCAAAATATAATACAATTCACTTTAAATTAAAACATTTTAAAATGTGTTCAATTGTAAATGGATCGCAAAATGAACTAAACAAAATGAATTTTATGTGATCTCCATTGATGCTTAAGTTAAAAACCCTTTTTAAATTTGTTGGGCTCTACAAAGTAATACTCTATCATTGTTGAAGTATCATGACAATTCTTATCAGAAGAATATATGCATTGACTTCTACAGTATTTAGAACATGTTTCTACAGGACTTGAGTATGCGTAATCCTTTGCTGTTTCTCTATTGATTCTTGTTCAGAGGGCCATATTAGGTATGAAAACAGGTGTCAGGTAGGAGAAATATATGAGAGGTTTCATATCAAAGTCTGATTTCCGTTATTTTCAGAATATGCAGAAAAACTCAATTTGTTGTATTGGTCCCACTCAAAACTGTTTCTGATGATTTTATTTAAAAATTTCCAGTTGAATTATGGAAAAAATCATTTAAATAGCTCTATATTGAAGCTATGTTACAAAAATTTGCTTTTTTTCAACTAATTTTTATGACAGATGTCTGTCTTGGATATGAGACCTCTCATATGTTTAATAAAGAAGTAACAAGTTGGGACCTAGAAAGCAAAGAAAGATGTTCAAGTTATGACTTAAATTTTGTTTTACTATTATCCGTTCAAGATTCAAAGTGGCTGTGGTCCAGACTTTGCAAATGCTTGATAAGAAAATAGAAATTATTGAGGATGTCTTATTACTTATTTTCAATGAAGGGTTAATAAGTAATTTCTTATTGTTATCTTGGAATTGGTTTTCTATGAAAATCTTTGATTTTATAGAAAGTTATTAAATACAATAGTTGATAACTATGAAAGTGAATAGTGTTACTAACTATGCTATAGATATCGACAATTAGGCATAGGGTACAGCCCCACTGTCAAGTGCTTCTCTCAACCTTAAGAGTTTTCTCGTTCAACAACTTGTAATTTACTATTTTGATGCCCACCATGAACATGAATCAATAGAGGAACTGTGGTCTGTCGGTAACCTTCAGATATAGTATCATATGTTGTATTAGGCATGTTTTGAGCAAGATAGGAGATCTGAAATGGATTTTTCATTATCAGTTTGTCCCAAAGGCATTATGAAACTTACCAAACTGAGCCTGCTCGGAGACCTTGCATGATGGTGTTAATGTGGTCTAAATTTTGTCCGTAAATTGAGGATGCAAGGCCGTATTCAGTATTATTTGCCCTTTCTATTACTTCATCTATAGTTTTGTAAGATATTATTTGTTGAACTGGTCCAAAAATCTATAAAAATGATATAATAAGTAAATTTTGTTAATTTTTTTGACATAAAAAGAAAAATTTAATTTTCTTACTTCTTCTTTAGCTATGGTCATATCATCTTTTACATTAGTAAACAATGTTGGTTCTACAAAGAATCCAGGCCTGTCTATTCTATTTCCTCCAACTTCGATATTAGCACCTTCTTTCTTTCCTGACTCTATCATCTTCATAACAGTATCCAGTTGTTCTTTTGTTGCCTACAACAGATTAAATATTTGATCTAAAATAATTGTGGGGAGTAAACTGTAACGATGAGAAAGAATTATGCCTCACTAAGCTATAAAGAATATTTGGTATTTTAAAAAAAAACGAAATATTCTTAAATTGAATACTTAATAGTTGACCGTTGTATTATTAAGGAAGGATATGATCCAGAGTGACAGTCATAAATAGACTAAATATTGGCAAAACTATTTTATTAAAAGCCAACGTTTCGACCCGACTTTGCAGGTCTTCAGGGAGATGTGTTCAGCAAGGGTTTTCACTTAGAACTGAACTGGGTCAAACTTTGGCTTTTAATAAAATAGTTTTGCTGCTATTTAGTCTATTTATGACCGCCACTCCGGACCATCTCCATTCTTAAATTGGTTTTTATTTCTGGCTTTAATTTTTTTTTTAGATTACGGTAGTATGTATTACGGTAGTTTCTGTCATATAGACGGTTAGTCTTATTATTATTATCAAAGTCAAGCTAATGAACATGTTCTGGAAGTGCTAAAATAATGTGTCAGACTTGATATATGTTTTTCACCCGCTAATGTCAAATTTGCAGTTTACAAATAACGTCAACTTTTGATCTATAAACAAATCAGAAACAGTAAGTGGTTTTCAAAATATGTCTGAGATACATGGCTGAAATAAATGCTCTATATTTTTATAATCTGGTTTTGTTGGACATGTATAACTACAACCATAATTCTCTTAATTAGCTGGTTCATCATTAATGCCCACGAAACTGGCTTAAAATAAAGATAAGAAAAGGAAACAAAGAAAAATAGAGAGCTAAAGTCAAATTACTAACAGTCGATTGCTGCAAGTACATTCACTCTCTCTGTTATTTTCTGAGAATGATAGTGTTCGTTTTAATCACTGTATTGTATTGGATGAGCAACAAAGGCCATGACACAAATCCTTCTCTTACATCAAGGAGAAGAAGCATGATTAAGGCTCTCCAGAAGAAAAAACAAACAACAAAAATAGCGGAATTTAAAAAAAAAGAAGATTTTTCATATGTACAAGTTCAAATGTTTTCAAATGAGTGTACAAATTCAGTAAATCCAGTTTAAAAGTTGTTTGTACATATTTATAGAGCTAAACACTCTAAGTTTGGATTGCTGCGAATTCATTATTCTTTTATAATACTTGTTATTTTATTTTATATTGTTATGTTATGTCATTTTATTTCTTAAAGAAAGGTGAGAAATGTGAAGGCAATGGTTATAGACCTTTAAACATTTTGCTTACTATACCTCAACAATATAAAAATAAAGGAAACTAAATCTCTTCATCTTATATAAGCAGAATTAAAGGAAGTAATGGATTCTTATTTATGACTTATTTGGTTCATTTGTCTCCGGAGATTTATATTACCTGTGGTCCATGTTCAACATTTAAGTCAAATGGATCTCCAACTCGTTTAGATTTTATTCTGGCCTTCGATTTTTCTAGGAATTCCTCGTAAATGGATTCATGAACAAATGTTCTCGAACCAGCACAACAGCATTGTCCCTTAAATTGATTAAGAATTTTTTAAGGTTAGCAATATTTTTCATTTAAAAATAAATTATTCAAAATAGTAAGATTAAGTGATTAACCATGTTGTGGAAAGCTGCATAATGAGCATGTTCAACTGCATTGTCAATATCCGCATCAGGCAGTATGATATTTGGTGACTTTCCTCCAAGCTCCAATGTTAATCTTTTCATGTTATCTGCACCATTTTTGAATATTTGTTTCCCGACCTGTGAAAAAAAAAATGATACATGGATGAAAATTATGTCCTCATTTTGGTGTCATAGAAAAATTTATTAGGGTAAGAGTGGATAAAATGCATGGAAGATTGTATCCAGTCAAAGTGGAATGAATTACTCTGTCGTAAACAGCATAAAATAAAATTATGTCAAAATTTAAGACTAATAAAAAATCTAGAATGCCACATAGTTGAGGCTATTTTATTTCAATCCTGAATAAAAAGTTAAAAGGAAATAATATTATAACTACATCCCTATTCCTAATACATCACCTTTGACCCTAGTAGAGGTCTTATTATTTATGCTAATAAAAGATGTGTATCATCTTAAAAAGTTAAAAATTATTTGTCAGAATGCCAACCGACCTGGAAAACCTGAAAAAATGGAGAAAGTCGTGGAATTTTCAAAGCAGGGAAAAATTGTTAAAGTCCAGGAATTTTTTTCAGTATGTAAATATTTTTTCAAATTGGAAATAAATAAACAGTGGATATCGTTTAGATATCGCCTCCGTCGAGAGCTGACTGTTACTATATCGGATCATTTTTTTTCTAAGGACTAAAGGTGTGTTTAGATATTGCAAAAACTATAGGAATAATAAATATATAAATGGATATTTTACCATACTAGTAATTTATTTCTTGTTTTTGATATTTTCCATCTGCTGTCGATATCAAGAGAAATAAAATTAATAGTTTGATTTAGCAATGTCATTGTTAGTTGAACCTTCCTCTTGGTTTATGAAAATAAAATAAAGGCGATAAAAATAAATTACTAAAAGTTGAGTTTTCCAAACTAAAAAAAATTAAAAAATGGAAATAAATCAGGGAATTTCACTTTAACTTTCTGGTAGCCACACTGTTTCTGAATTCATTGTGTTTCTTTATTATGATATAAATTAAAATACCTTACATAAATTAATCATTCTAAATTTCTTACTAAAATACTGAAATCCAGTGTTTGATGTATAAGTATTGTTTTACCTCAGTAGACCCTGTAAAGGATATTTTGTCAACTTCTGGGTGGTTCACCATGGCACTGCCTACATCTCCAAAACCTGGCACAAAATTAACTACACCTGGAGGAAATCCAGCCTCCTTTACTAGCTCTGCTACATGGAGGGCAGCAAGGCTTGTATGTTGTGAAGGTTTTAACACCATTGTACAACCTACAAATAAAGGAATGTATCATTATTTCACTTAAACCAATAACATCTTTCAACGCTACAGATAAATTTGGTTACCTGCTGCAAGTGCTGGGGCAAGTTTCCATGAAACCATGAGAATTGAGAAATTCCATGCAGTTATGAGTCCACAAATTCCTACTGGTTCATGGCGAGTGTAGGTAACGAAGTTTCCATCGATTGCAGCAGTAATGCCATTATTTTTATCTGCGTAGCCTCCAAAGTAGCGGAGGTTCCTCACTGCCCATGGCAAGTCTCCTTTAAGAGTGGCACTGTACACCTTACCACATTCAAGTGCTTCCAAACTCTGAAATGTTTGGAAGTAGTTATATATCTAATAGTTTAATCCATCAATTTTTACTTCTTTATAATAAATTATTTGATTCAAAATTAATTATTTTATAAAAATACAATGTTATGTAGAGTTACAAAGTATTTCAATACATGTTACAAATTATTAGGAATTTGTAAACCTACCGAAAGATATACGGAATCACGTTCCATTAGATCTGCCAGCTTGTTAATCAGCTTACCCCTCTTAGCTGCATCCATTTTCCTCCATGGAGAGCCCAGCTTGAAAGCCTCCTTGGCTGCTTGAACTGCTCTGTCTACATCTGCCTGTAATTAACAAAATTTTTATCTTAGCTATGATGTAGTTGTTAAGGTGCGTTTAGACATTTCACTAACTGAGGGACAATTTAATACACCTTTAGACTGTATTAACAATTTGCTTTGAAGGGATATTAAATGTTGAGTTTATAATTAAATGCTGAGCCAGTCTTACCTTGCCTCCTTTTTGTACTTCGGCTATGACTTCACTGGTGGTTGGATTGACTGTTTTAAAAGTTTCTCCTGAAAGTGAATCCACCCACTCATTGTTAATGAACAACTAAAAATATAAAAGTAAAATTGATTTATTATTTATTTATTTGGTTATATTTATTAAATTACCTTAAATAATAATTAAATTTTTATCTAGTTAAAAAAAAATCAATATAATCTACTAAAAAGAATTGTAGAAGATTATAAAAGAAGTATTTCTTCTTAAGGGTCCCTTACAGAGTCAATATTATTGAGTCAAAACCACTAGAGGATCCAGGATTAAATGTTGGAAGGGGCTTCAGCACAAAAGCTTCCATATATATATAAATAACGATAATTACTTTGGAAGAACAAGAAAGAAACTAACTACCTATTTGAAATAGGGTTTAAGTGATTCTAGAAGTACTATTAAATGTACACGAACAATTATATTTTGAGAGATCATTTTTTTCATAAGACATGGTTATATTTTACCATTTAAGCCCTGGAGCCAGGATCCAAAAATCGACCTGATCGCAGGCGAGGGTTGGTTGTAAATTACGAAAGTGTACATATGTTATTCTGAGTAAAAAAGAACCTTGTCTGCCCTTCGAGAGCCGCTGCTTTCAAAAATGGCAGTTGATTTAAAGAATATTAGGCCAGTAATTTGAGGATCAAAACGTGAAATCTGAGAAAAGTTTTATTTTTTTTAACTTGTATAGCCACCAAGGGAAAACGTTTTACAGCCAAAAAAGTCAGATTTTTCGATATCTTTTTGTTTTTTCACCTATAACTCCTAAATGACCCATCAAAGCGAAAAATGTACTCTTTAATAACGCTAAATTGTGCGTTGAACGAGTACATAAATTTTCATAATTTGGTTACCTGTTAAAGTATGGTCAACCAACAATTATTTTTACCAAATTTGTCAAAAACTGAGACAAACTAATATAAATGGCCTGTAACTTGGAAATGAGTTCCCAAAGAGGAAAAACTTATAGGGTCAAAGTTGTAGAGCATCAAATTTTGCTTCCACAGATTACTGAAATTTGTACTGTTGACTAATTATATATCTCGAATCGGGATTCGTTATTTCTTTAATGACGATATGAAATACGATATATTTCGACACACCGTTTATCAAAATTATACAGTGGTTACGAAGATATTAAAGGGATACAATTTATAGAATTTCCATTTCCTGTATAAATTGCTGTGAACACCATGAAATTGCGATGTTCAAGGAGTGTAATACCAATTCAATATCGAATTTGTTTTATTAACATTTTCGAACATTAGAAAAACAAATTTTAATAAAATTCTATTTGGTTTAATTATTCTAACAACCAATAATAAGTTGTTGAAACTGGTAATAAAGTAATAACAGTGCTTTCCTCAATATAATTTACTATCAAATCAAATGAGCAATGCATTAATTTAAAAAGATCAAGGTTTCCTTTTTTTAAATTCCATTCTGCATTAAAATATTGTTAGAATAACATATTTTTAATTAGTTTAAGACTTAGTAGTATGTTATAATTGTATTGATAATTAATGTATTCTATCGATGTATGCCTAGTCAATGGCTTATAAGTTTTTCTTTGGTGAATAGGAAAAAACATTTTGATTTATCGATATATCTAACCTCATAAACCAGTTTATTTTAGTGCATTTTTTAGGTTGGTTAAGGGAATAAAGATATTGTTATCGAAGTCCTTGTTCTTTCCCTTGGAGACGGTTAACCCATTTTAAAAACGACCATCTTGACTTTGTAGAAAAGAGGTTTACTTATCTAATATCCTTGACATTCATCCCTAAAAAAAAAAAAATTAGATACCATTTTATTTTTACTATTATTTATTCTTAATTGTTACAATCATTATGGTCAAAATAATTTTCCTGAAATAAAAATAAAACTGAAAATTTGATTATTCTTTGAAATAGTTATTATCGAAAGGTGATGAATGTTTTCTATGCTTTAAAGTATAATTAAATCTAAATGTTTTCCGTTAAATTTGCTTTTGTGTTTTCTCTATTGTTGGTTTTGTTAAAATTGCTCTTTAAAAGCTATCTTCCTTGAAATCTATTTTTTACTTATATTTTGTTAAAATGAATTATCGATTCAACTAGATATTATTCAGTTAGTAAATAAAGAAAAAGTGAGACTTTTACAGTAACGTTTTGTTTTCTTTAATTGGTCGTTAAATTGAAATTGCTTTTTTATGGATGAAAATTTACTTACACATATATACTGTAAATGTGAAATAGTTACATTTCAAGTTTCAGTAATCTGATTATATGGATATAATTAAATTGAAACATTGAAAACGCCGTCAAAATGTACCCACCCCCCTTATTAACTTCGATGGCGCAACTTGCGCCATAAATCCCCTTCTGGGCACCCTTAACTCCTGAAGCAAAAACTGACCTGACTGAAAACGACATTTTTACCAAGTTACAATTAGTTAAGATTTCCAATATAGTGGCTTGCTTATGTAACCACCTTGGAAACTGCTATAACAATAAAAAATCATGCGAATGAAAATTGTTGATTAAACTTTATATTTAGAGAGTTCAAATCTACATTAAGTAAAATTCGCATTTCACATACTCACATCGTCAGTAAGTATTGTTGCCTCACAAAATTTCATAGGAGCAAAGTTATAAGCAAATCCTTTTTGCTTCTCGATTTGGCTCAAATTTGGAGGGAAGTTAGGGATTGGTAAACAGATAATCAAGCATCTATGAATTTTATCAAATTCCATCCACTACTCCAATAAAAAATACTTTCGCTGTCAGATCAGGAAATTTATTATGTGACACGCCAATTTTGTATTCTGCAACTGATAAAAACAGTCTGCTACGATGGAAAATAACAGAGAGCAATAAAATATTAAATCATATTAATAAATGATAAAGAAGCAATTAGTGTTTATGCTCTCCTGTAAATCATTCAATTTTTACATACGCTCTTTTGCACTAACAGTAGTGATATTAATGTTCACTATGCACTGGATTTTTTTTTTTTTAAATCACGAATTATCCAATATGCAATCTGCAAATTTAGAATTTTTCACATTTTATTATTCAATGAATAAAACTATCACTCCCTACGGTGAGGAAGAAGTTGAGGAATTATTGCATTTCTGAAAACGGCTTCTCCCAATCATTTTATTCTCATACGAAAAATGTTACACCTTGTAATATAGATATTTTTTAGCAAATGAAAACGGTGAGGAAGCTATATTGATCTTACTTGGCAGACGTTTTAAAGGCATTCTTGTAGTAATATTATTGTATTATTGGTAATGTAAATGATATATAAATGAAAAAATATTTGTAATACCATAAGAGTAATAATGTTTGTTATACAAAGATTGACTCTATTTGTATGGGGTTCTTCTCTGGCAACAAATAAAGATTAAATACAAAAAAAAAAAAAGCTCATTTCTTTTTTACGTCAAATAATATGTTGAAAAAAAAGGTGATACTCTGCTTTCCAACGGTCCTCACAGGTTCTAATTTAATTTAGGTTCTGTAAGTGGTTGGACGTCGGACATATTTCAAGGACGTTACCTCTGAATGGCGTAGATAAACCTATACTCTTCCCCCGAGGACACTGGTGATGTCGTAAAATGTAAATTCTCTGATAAACTGGAAAAAAATATCACCAACTTACGTGGCAGAGTATGATAATGGCGGAAGGTGCAATAGTATAGGTGTGTTTATAATAATCACTTCAAAGTAAATGTACCGTCAATAGGCAATGTAAGAAAAATTTTAAATATTAATCACAGCTTTAGTTCTGACGATGGATCTTTGCAAATGGATTTAATTTAAAGCAAATTTAGCCTTGTATCGTATTTTTACTTTCTCTTATCTATATATGAAGTATATAGTAAAGGAAAGTATTACGATCGTGAAAATTTTCGAATCTCAGTTTTCAACGGAAATACATGTTTTGAGGAGGTCCCATGAGTCCAAATAAAAAAGTCCCGCAAAATGATCTCTGTGTGTGTATTAACAGTCTAGTTCAAAAACGAAAAGTCGTACGAAAGTGAAATTGCATGTTTCACGATTTTATATGCTTGGGATGTTACAGCAACTTTTTCGTCAAAATCGGCTCACCAGAAGTGGCACTTTATATCATGGACTAAATACATTTTAACGATTTTCTCGAAAACGGCTCTAACAATTTTGATTAAATTCATTATACGAGTGTAAAATTAAGCAGTTTTTAATAAAATTTAGTTTTTATTTTGATTGGTGTTCTCTAACAGGCTTAAATGGCTAATTTTCAATATTAGCTTCCACTGAAATACCTTTAATTTTTTTTATTTGAAACAATTGACCATTTCACGTTAATCTATAATATAAAAGATAGTTAAATATAAATTATGAAAGAATTTGATAATTAACTGAAGGAGAAAAAAGAGATCGTAACGGAGAATAGTTGTAATTGAGGAACCAAAGGAATACGAGCGCACCCGAGATCGCCTAAAAGATTAGAACACGCTTCCATACTTAACATGAGCTTAATATAATACGGACTCCGAAAATATTATGTAAATATACATATGCGGTTTTCATGAATGCTACTGTTGGTATTATTTAATATTATAGATTATAGTGATATAAATATTAAAATTTGTATATATGAGTGTACTTATACAAATAAAAATATCCACAATGAAATATAAATGAATATAGCGTCTATAATTTTTACTATCACTTCTCCTATGTTTGAAAATACTTATTTCTGCTAAGAAGAAGGTGGTAAGTGAAAGTTGTGTGATGCACGCACCGCACCAGATTTTTTTTTTTTGTACAGTCAATTAGTTAATTATTCGTGATTTTTTAAAGAGATTCTGACAAGAGCAAAATTTTAGATATCACAAAACCTGGAGGCGCAATCCATTTGTTTCAAGCAGTTTCCGTGTCGCATTTCACTTACTCACATCGACAGTAAGTTTTGTTGACCTCTCTCACAAAATTTCATAGGACCAAAATTGTAAGCAAATCCTTTTTGCTTCGGTAGGCCTGCAAGGTTCGAAGACTGTGTGGAAAGTATTTAATGAAAAATCTTTAAGTATGAAAAATAATTGAAAAACGTGAGAAAAACTTACAAACTGTGTTCTAAACTTAAAAATTCTAACTCTATTTAAGGCAATGCCATTTAGATACAGATACGACAATAATTAGCAGGACCAAAATTGTAGATATCACAAAACTTGAAGGCGCAATATATTTGTTGCAAGCAGTTCTGGCTTAGCCACAATATACCTTCAAAAGTAGGTCTTACCGATGGTCAGATTGTCTTCGCTATTTTATTTTAAGAAATTAAACATTATAAATTTACAGTGTTTATCATATTTCCTTTGATTACAGGCTGCAGGCAATGTATTTGTTTTTTTCTATACAGCCAATTAGTTAATTATTATGAAATTTTTAAGAGATTCTGACAGCTTATATTATACCAGCAATCGACACTCAGTTTGTGGGCTCAATGCATATAAATACCTCTGTATATAAATTAAAGAAACCCAAAATAAATCCTGCACAGTCTTATACCTAGAAATGACAAACTACATCTGAATGAATCAAAATTTCAAACTTATCTTCTAAAGAAAAGTTATAAGGAAACCTCTCTGAAACAATAGCCCAGACTTGTTTCGTTGCAAAAAACGCTGCAAATTATTTCACAGTGGTTTATAATTTTCAAACAATTATTCATTTAAATTAACATTATCTTTCTAGTTACAAAGAAAAAGAAATAAAAGGTGATTCCTGTTATTGGCCTATACATTTTTTTTCGCCATTAATAATTTCCTAAAAAAAAAAAAATGGCATTACTTCAGTAGCACGTTAAAAAAACAAAAACCAAAACAAATGATATAACCTTTGCAGTAGAACATATTAAAAATATCTAGAGTACATATCTTTGCTCTAGATTGTTCGATTTCAACGATTTTTTAAAGAAAATTTCATAAACTTTTAAATAACCATATTTTGAGTTATTCGGAAATTTAATTTTACAGCCCCTCGTAACTTTTTTCCAGCTTCTTTTCGTTGAAGTATGTTTATATAGATAAATTTAAAGGGTGTCGAGAAGAAGACTTTAGCCAAGTTTTATTGAAATCAGTACATTCGTTTTGGCGGTACAGTCTATAGCAACACAGGTTTTTCGGCCGCCATCTTGAAAGGAAAAGTAATATCAGATTTAAGAGGGTGAGCTCTGACTTTAAATCCAAATTTGAAAAAAATCGGTCCGTAGTTTCGAAGATAATGCGCGGACGGCGGATGGACAAAAATAATTTGTATTCTTTTTTTCGAATTCTACGTATCCTGAAACATAAAACCTCAAATTTTGAGAGGAGGTTAAGTTTTTGGTTGATTACAATGGTTCATTATTGAAAATAATAAACCAACAAACTGACTATTGTGGCGTATCAATTGAGGTTCAGGTATCTCATCCAATAGAATATTAATAACACATTAACTTAATCTTAATCTTAACCTTAATTAACCTTTTTTTACGCCTATAAAGCTTGTTATCTATTAATGAGTTGGAAATTGTCTATTACTGGTACAGTGTCTATTAGTGTTATATTTATCTTACATTTGTTATAATATATAGCGATTCAATAGTATAATATTTGTAAATAAGAATAATTATATTTCTAAGGATAAAAACATACCAATATTAATGAGATATCTATTCATAAGAATCTTATTTAGTAAATGATTCCTGGTCTTGCTAATTTATCGGAATTTTTTTCAAAATATCGTACTTTCATTTGACGTTAGATAGTACTTTACCAAAAATTGCGACCAATCTACTTCTTTGATTGCCGAAGAGATAAGATCATTCTCAATTGTTTTTCACATTTAAAATTAGTAAACTGCACTGCTCTGATATAAAAGATTCACTAACTGCCCAACTTCAGATTCAACATTTCACGATCACTGTTCTGAAGTTGAAAGAATCAGAAATTGGCAATGTTCATGTGAGGAAAAATGGATGGGGTTCGTTCGGATAAGATAGAGCACACACATGAGCTAGGCGGTACCCTGGAATCTATTTTCTTCATAATATATTCTTTGAAGGAAAACATTTGGTTTAATATGGTCTGGAGAAAAAGAATGAGGAGATTTCGTATGTATTGATACGTTATATTGATTAATCAAAACCTTAAAGGCCCATTACAATATTATTTAACGTGTTGCATATATCAAAGTGTCAATATAACTGCTGCAATATAGCCCTCAAACGGTCGATATATTGACGTAATTCTATATTGACTTTAGAGCATGGTTTAAATTTAAGATGCTTGATTTAATAAACCTATTAATCTTGTGGAGCTTCTATAGTTCATTTATTAATTTTTTTCGAAAAAAAGTAAAAGCAATTTAGGTTTTTTAAATTTTCTAGTTATAGAATTTTTGGAATAAAATGTATTGGTAATTAGTTTTTTAAAAAAATGGAGAAAACTCATTTGGCTAGTGTATTATTAAATTATAATGGTTTTGGTTTATTTAATTTTTTTAGAATATCAGAATGTCTAAAAATCAGAACAACATAACTTATAGCCAAAAAGTTCACTTCTTTCGTTGAATTTCGTCTTAAACATTTATTTTAACTTATTTAATTTTCTTGCGGGGGATTTCTTTTAATTGTTTTCATTGAAATAGTAATGCTTTGTTGGTTGTAAATGTTATCAAAATTGTATTATGATAATCGACACTCTTTCCCTGTTTTCATTGAAATTATAAGTAATTATTTTATTCTTAATATTAAAATTATAAAGAAGTAAATTTTGTCTACAAAACAGGAGAATCCCCAATCTAACACGCACTTTTGACCTTAAGTTATCAAAGCTTCAACCGAAAAATTTATTTTTTTCTGTTATTTCGGAACCAGACCTTTTCACTTAAAACTTTTCAGTTACAGGTTTTATAGAATAAATGGAAGATAATAATCAGGCATTTAATCGAATTTATAATACAAGTCCGATAACTATTTATTTCTTATTTTAAGTATTTTTTTCTAGAACATAAATAAATACCAGCTTAACTTTTACAATAAACTCAGAATTCTATCCCAAAAAAATTCTTTCGAACTTTTATTTTAATAGCTTTTTTCTCTAAAAGTTTCATCGAAACTCATAAAATAGAACTTTAAGCTCTGATAATTATCAAAACTTTTTTTTTATGTGTATAATTATTTTGTAATAATTCTTGTTTTTCTGATCCGTATATTTGTAATCAATTCAATTTGGAATGTTTCAAATTATAACCCTCAATTTTAAATCTACGACAATAAGAAAAGCGGAAAAAGTATCTTGACAAAAATGGTCAAAATTAAATTAATATGATTTTCCTAACGGAATAATATTTTTTAAAGTTCATGGGGTGTTAGTTTTGTGGGCGGTGTGTTTTTATTAACTCTTTTTTAGTGTTTAATTTTTTTTTAAAGAGCACGTCTGGAATGAAATATAAGTGGACAAGTGTTATTAAAGACTATATTATAATTTAGCTGCCATCACGTTTAGTTATTTATTTTAGTTAAATGGCGAGGAAAGCTCGCTATGTGCTCATTTTTTAAAAGCAATATTATTTCATTCGCGCATTTTGGAAGAAAAAAATATGTGTTCATTTAGACTATTCAACGATTCAGCTTTGGTCACATTAGATTTGAATTAATGGTGAGGGTAACTCATGATTAACTTAATGTGAGGGTTGTTGTGGCCAATATATAATATTATTACACTCATATATCATTAGAGTACATTTATGAAATATTTACTTTCTGTACAAAAAGCAAATTGACTTACTCTACTACCACAGGCGGATCTACGGGGGGGAGGAAGAAGGGGGCTTTCGGGCTGAAGCCCCCCCAAAGTGGTAAAATATAATCATGTTTTACAGAAAAATATATTAAAAACTATCCCTTAAAGTATTCTTGTTAGTTTAATTACATTTAATAAGACTTCAAGAACCACTTAAACACCATTTCTTATAGGTAGTTAATTTCTTTATTTTTTTTCCAAATTAATTATCGTTATATGTATATGAAAAAAAAAATCTTTCGGGCTGAAGCCTCCCCCGAAATTAAATCCTAGATCCGCTAGTGTCTACTATCATTGTACCTCCCCCCCCTTATTGAGAGCTAGAACTTGAAAAAAAGTGTCATGAACGCTCAATTGACGAAATGTTGACTTATTTGTTACTTTAATTTAATTTGAGAAAATCAAGGTTTTGTTTTCGTTCCCTTAAATTAAAATTATATGAGATTTTTATTGTTTTTATAGAAACTATTCATTTGTTTATTGAGAGCCCAATACACACTTCTTATCGCCAATGATATTAGCAGCCGGACTTACTTGCGTCTTGGGGATCTTGGGTGTTCTCTGGGGTTCCGGGAGCTGGCTGGAGAAGTACCTCCTGGAAAGTTCTCTCGTGGACCTCCTCAACATGTGCATGGTTCTCGACTGGGACCTTGCCTCTGGCAGTACACCTTCTGTTATAGTGGAGATAAGGGCTACAACCGCCCCACTTTCCGCTTGACGTAGTAAAGCACTTTGAAAAACAAAAACAAAAAAAATATATATAAGAAAAAGAAAAGGTCACTTAAATAAATGACTTTACTCCGCAGTGCGGCATTATTAGGGCGAAGTTGTGCAATTGTTTAGTTGCTTGATTCGGCGAATGGGCGAAAAAATCTTGTTAATGAAAATTATGTTAGATTCATATATTAATATTTTGAAGATTATTTATATTATAATTCTATATATCTTCTTGCTAATTGTCATAATGTTAAATGCAAATTTAAAAAATATCTTAAAGTTGGTGTTTATTGTTTATAAAATTTGATTAGCAAAACAACTAACCCATTTTTATTAATTTTTGTTTTATATATTCATTTGGCAATAAGTTACATTTTGATGATTAGATTTTTTTTTTACTACTATCAGAAGTAGTAGTGTAAAATAAAAAGTGTTTCTACATTCAAATTTCAGTTTTTTTTTCCCGGACTCCAGTCGTGTGTTGTCCTCTAATATTTGTAGTATGCTAATATTTTGAGGCCTAGAAAGGTTCCTTCGAAATTTAAGAACTGAAACTCTCCCTTAAGAAGATCTACAATTCGCCGATTTTATTTCTTTCTTTTTTCTCTCTACTTGACCATTTCTGGCATACGGGATTCTCAGCAGCAGTGGGGTAGTGCGCCTGTGTTTTGCGCATTCCACCGGCACCAATCATACTCTTTTTATTTGTTGTTCTTTATTTTATACTTGCTTTAGGGTATATATTTATAATTAAGGACAATAAAAATATGGTTCTCCTGTGGCACAGGGCTCTCACGGCACCGGGCAGCCGCTTTTTCTATCCTGGCACTCGACTAGAGGTGATTTGCGTACCATACAGTTCCTTCTCGTAGGGGTGTACCTCCCATATTTTTATCGGGTTCCAGTTTTCTTTTTCGCCTTTTATTTTGACATAATGGAGGCTTCCTCTCGTGCTGTAGGTGAGTGGGGTCATTTGGCATTCTCATTATTATACCTGTATACCTGAGTATGTAAGTATGTGACTATTCCCCGTAGAGCTATCACCTCTATTATATTTGCCCAGGGATGTTGCAAATAATAAATATATAAACCAAGTATAAAATGTACAGGGATCAGCCATCTGACTAGACAAAAAAAAAAAAAAAATGAGATGAGCCATTAAATCAATTGTTCTCTAGTTCTTACTTGTAAGTATTCTTCTGTATAAATGATAATATTTTTAAATTTAATAATACCGACTACTCTTTTCAAAGTTAAAATATAGCCCGATGTATCGAAATATATTTTCAATTTAAAGAATTACTTTTTCGATACTTACTAAGTACAGTTAACGCTATTCGACGTTCTGTAGCCTTCTGAATTATCCAGTTGACTCTTCGTCATTCATCGGCCCAGATATTTTACGCAATAATTTATTTTGTAAAGTTTAAGTTGTAAAAGTTTATGATTATGGTGGTGAACTTCACTTAACATAAGCGGGCATTGCACGTCTGTAGAAACGATAATAAATTATCATTGTTAAGTATGTATTATCATTATCATTGTGTATTATCACGAATCTGGCTAGCAAACTTGAACAAATTGCCAAAAATTACGTGATTAGCAATAAGAAAAAAACAGAATTGAATAGGTTCACATCACTCAGTACATTACAGATTTAAAAAGTCAAGACAAAATTTCGGAAGCTTTATACGAATCTGACGCCTTTAAAAATATCAAAAGGTACCAAAAATTACATGAACAGGAGGAGGATGTTTTCCTGTTGCTAATCACTTAATTTTTGGCACTTTCTTTTCAAATTTGTTTGTCAGACCTTGTCGTATAAAGCTTCCAAATTTTTCCTCTGACTTTATTAAATCTGTTACCTACAGAGTGGTCTGAAACTATTCTAATTGTTTGTTTGCGTGCTGCTGATCACCTAGTTTTTGCGATTGTTAATGTTTTCAGATTCGTATAAAGATTCCAAAATTTTGTGTGACTTTATTAAATATGTTACCGACTAAGTGGTCTGAAACTATTCCAGTCGATTTTTTTTTCCTGCTGCTGATCACGTCATTTTTGACATTTTTTTTTCTTTTCCAAAAATTCGACCAAAGACAAAAACGCTTCCTGTTAGCCGTCTGACTGAGGGTTTTTAGCATTAGGTTCAACTGTTTCCAATTTTTAAACCTGCCGCTGATCAGTTGGTTTATTCTTCGGCAGTTCCCTGGACTATATGTTAAAGATTTGAATTAAATAGCTGTCACGAAACTACGTTTTCAGTGTTGTATCTATACTGAAAGAACTCTTAGATTATTTATGTTTTGACCCCTGGGAAGAGTAGAAGCCATTATCAAATTCAAATAAGAGAACTCGGACTTTTGACAACTTTTTAGGAGTTATAAATGTAGCCATTAAAAATGATGATGATAAGGGAAGGAGGTTTACTTAGGCAAAACATTGATCTCATTAAAATTGGACTGATAAATGTCCATTCCATCTTAAAGTTTTTTTTTAATAAAAAAGGATTTTAAACCTTTTTTTCTTTTGCAGAAGAAGGAACTTCTGAAGATTTTCTTTTAATTTCCTTTTAGTCCAATCCTGAACTTTTTAATTATTGATTTATTTTATTATAATTTGATTCTATTGAGACCTGCATGAAATAGTAGTGTATTGCTTAGGCCATTGAGCTCATTTTTGATCAGTATTATGTTTTTTACAGATTCACCATGAGTACGCCTGAGTCCAAATTTAAGTTCACCAATGGCACAAGCAAGTATTTGACGCCTTGTAGAACTTTAGGGCTAAAGAGAAAATTTTCATCACCTCGCACACCGTGTAAGTTTGACTGTTATAGCATTTAAAATTATCTATAATATTTTATCATATTAAATTTAATTACTAAAATATCTAAATAGCTCAAAAGAGACATTTTTAATGGAACAGTCTACAGGTGAACAGTTTACTTGCAAACATTTCGTTAATTGAGGCATCAGCAGAGCAGGAAAAAACAAGATCACATATATGCAGAAAGAAAAAAAGAGAATTTTTTTTTTTGGCAATTGACATCTCACCAAGCCATCCAAATACACACTCTTGAATAAATAAATAAGTATGTATTTGGACTGGATGGCTTTGTGAGATGTCAATTGAAACTTTTTTTTCCACTTTCTAGTGATCTAATTTTTTTCCTCCACTGATGATGCCTGAATTGGCAAGTTAACTGTTTACTTGTATGTTAGAGATTCATGGCTTTATAGATTGGATTAAATTTAATATTACATTTGCAGAATTTAAATCTAATGGTTGTAGCAAAATGCTTTTTATTTAAGAAGTTTTAGAACATTGTCTTAAAATGATAGCATATGAGGTCTTACAAACTGTAAACTGTTTGAATGATATGATTGTGTCATATTAATTAAAGAATAATTATAAAACATATGGTGTTTAGTATCAAAGCACAGCTTACTTTCCTGTGATTTACCTGAAATTTTATGGTTCAATATAATTCCATTGCAATCTCCTTAACAGAAACAAAATTGATTAAACATTAATTATTAATAAGTATCTTATTTTGTAGGTTCAAAAATTGTTTGCAAAGATGAAGTAATAAATTCTCCTTTGTCATCTGTGAAACATGGATCGAAATTGCCTCTTCAAAATATTGAAAATAAAATAACTGACAATGATCGTGCACAAAATGAAAAAGTTGTTAATAAGCAAAATGTTCCAGTGCAAAAACAAAACTTTGAAACTGCTAGTCATAGTTTAATATCCAAATCTAATGAATCTCCTCTAACAGAAAAAGAAGAATCAATTTTTAAAAGAACATTGTTTGAAACTATCAATAATATCAATCTTAAGATAGAAAAAATAAATAATTTAAAGAGAAATGAGGCTTATACTAGAAAGGTAAATATACTTATAATTTTTAACTTTATCTAGTATATAAATATTCTTATTTTGTCTTATCTTCCTCGCCTCTTAAGCTATAGGCGGTTTTCCCGGGCTAGAAGGGTAGAGCAAGAGGTAAATACCAGAATTAATAGCTCTCCTGCTCTGGGACATGAGCTCGGAATTATGTCTCATTTTTAACTTATCAGGTTGTCGGGGACACGGCCACCCCAGTCCTTTATCAAGTATCTATTTGAGTGAGGACGGGAAGGCTTAGCATCGGGGCGTGGGTTCCTGAGTGCCCGTACTGAACGTTGTGGGTTTGATTCCCACCAGTTACTTTTCATTTCTCGGCGCCCCGGGAAATGGATCATGACAATTTCTCTCTGTTAAGTACGTAGCGGCAACCTCAAGGTAGCCGCCAGGGGTTGGTAAAAAGAACCATGATAAGCCCACTTGCCGGACTATTTCCCCCCACCAATACCAGTGTCTATTTGAGTGTATATTAGGTGTTGATTTTGGGAAAAACAATATTAAATTTTATATATATATATATATATATATATATATATATATATATATATATATATATATATATATATATATATATATATTATATATTGTAATGTCAACATTACATGGCATTTGGATAGTGGCGCAAAGGTGGTGATGGCGCGAACTACGGGAAGAAAGTGGGGGAAACAAGCTTCATGTAAGGCAGAAGGAGACTGCGACGGGCCGCCAGGAGGGAAGGTGCTAGCGGCTAAGAGAGAAGATCATGAGCCGTCAAGAGAAGGAGACAAGCGGCCAAGGGGGAAGGTGCCAGCCAGCAAGTGGAGAAATTAGGAAAAGGAGTCTTAGCCGGTTCGAGTGTTGACAGAGGCCACTAAGGAAGATTATTTTATGTTGGAAGAAAGAATATAGCAGAAATTAATTAAGTGGTACAGGAACATTAAGTGGACAATCGTAAGTAAGAAGAGATTATTTCGCTGGCAGGCGTCAACATTTGGGTGAGTGCTAACAATACCATTTATGTTGACAAAGGGATAGAACCAAAAGTTTAGACCGGGACAAATTATTTAATAAAATATTTTAAATTATAAATAAGTGTAGTAGTAATTAATGAATTAGTGTACATTGTCTTTATAAATAGGAATGAGTGTTCAGGTGTCAGAACCCAACCTGAGATTAATGTTATAAGTGTAAAATAAATAATATATTCTAAAAGAAACTCGTTGGTTTGTTGTTGTTCCTTTTGAAAACGTTACAATATATATAATTTTCTATTTTAATATTGTTTTTCCCAAAAAACAATTTTTGTGAAATAATCCTAATGTATTTTTGAGTTCTAAAGTTACCATTATATACTTTATTTCCTCACATTTCATATTTTTTTATATCTGTTTTTAGCATAACATTATCGAATTGAGGAAATCAACAGAAAAGTGGAAAACATCTTGTAGAGATGTAGTATTGACAATTTACAAAAACATGAAGTCCAAAGGCCATGATGTATCTGTCAAGAATATTTTGGATGAGCACAATATACCTTATGAACAGATTGGCTTTAATGAAGATACTATGGACTTCGACTGATGAACTATTTATAGTGTAAATAATGAATGTATATAAATAAATAAGATATATGTTAAAATTATTAAATAATTTACACGTATCATTCAGATCCATTATTAATTTTTAAAAATTCCAACTACAAAATGTTTAGTTGTAAAAATACAACCTGAATATATTAGTGGATAAATGAATAGATAAAACATCGACTGATTAGTATGTACTGCTATTTGAGAGGCTCATTCCAGGCTTTATGTTGGAATCTTTCTATAATTTCTTAATCAATGAAGTTATGAAAAGTATCTGTAATAAGCTAAGTTACCTTATTATTACAATCATTATTCATTATTTGTTCCCTTTACTCTTCTTATTTATATCGTTGGTTTATTGTAAAAAGTTATTAAGCAACATTTCATAACCTCAAAGAATTAATAACTTTTATAAATTAATAAGGTCGAAATTCATAAAAATATATTTAAAAGTTAATCTATATAACAAATAAACTTACTGACTTTTTGCAACAAACCAATGATTTACTGAG